TGCTGGAGCAAAGGCTCGCGGCTGCTGGCTGGCGCTGAGAGGCGAGGTGCAGCACGTGCGGTCGTGCAGAGGAGGAGGGCGCTGCCACCATAGCTGGTGGGCTTGGACTACAGTGAGGCGCAGGGGTGGTCTTCGGGTGAAAGAGAGGACAGGTGTGGGTGTAGTCAAGGGATAGGTGAAGGATGATGATGATGATGATGATGCGAGGGCACATACCTTGTATTGGCGATGGTCTGCATGGGCGGCATCCTCAAGTACTTCGGGCTGCCGCTGATGTCAACAGTTGCATTGTCTTTTTGTAGTCTGTAGTATCTGTGTAGGAGTAGGCTGGGCGCTGAGCGCCAAGTGTGAGGGTGAAGGAACTGGACTCTTGTGTTGAGAGGAGAGAGTATGCTCTCCATGGACATTGGTTTGCACTGCTACGAACCTCCATTGGTGTATTATTGGTGCAATGCTGCGCTCTGGACACGGTGTGACTATATGGCTTTCAATGTAATGGTGTGATCTGGAATTGTCATCTCGCTGTTGCTCATCTTTCTTGCAGTCTCCACAGTGTCACTAGAGTGTTAGTTGCATGTCATCTGAGGGATACAGTATTTCACCACGGCAGTCGCCCCTCAAAAGATCTGAGGCGCGCTTCGAGATTTTGAAAAGGCACAATGCGTTGGAGGTGTCAAAATGGTTGTCTGCCCTCCATACGGATTTGAAGACGCCCCTCCAAGCCTCGAGGCAGATTTGCCAACATTGCACGAAGTCACACCAGTGGAACATCCGACCATTTCTCCAGCTGGGATCTTGAAGGTCGGCGCAGGTGGGGGGTGCTTCACACGAGTGATAGTAGTGCAATAACCCATGCCATATGTCTCATAGAATGTCTGAGGGCCTACTTGGCTGCCCTCAGCCCAGGCCAAAACGGGGGAAAAAGACCCCACATGGAAATTCAGGGCTGGGACGTGAAAAGTCAACTGTCGTGATACCAACAATCAAAGTCCAAAAGTACCCAGCCCAGACCGCTGGTCAAGCACACACACTTGTTTGTATGCAGGTACCCAGACAACATGTTACATACTTCAATGAGTATGGGCAGAACCAAAGATCAACCAATGTAGGATGAGCATATATGCTGCGGAAGTCTTATAAACGGACTGACTCACACGGACTGACTCAAGAATCACTCCACACACATACAATCGTGAGATGGTGGGGTCTGGGCCAAGCATAGACGATGCCCAGACCTCGTACACGCATACACATATGAGAGGTGGGAGGAGAGACGAAGGAGGTGGGGGGAGGTAGACAGCACCGAAGGTCACCGAGATAGAATCTGATAGGGCACCGATATGGTAGTCCCAAAATGTCATCCAACAAGATCAAAATGTCGAGGACAATAGGTCAGCAATGTCGGAGGTACAGAGTCCAAATGTAACCGGTGTCCGAGGAGAATAGGTCACCAATGAGGAGAGACGAAGGAGGTGGGGGGAGGTAGACAGCACCGAAGGTCACCGAGATAGAATCTGATAGGGCACCCATATGGTAGTCCCAAAATGTCATCCAGCAAGATCAAAATGTCGAGGACAATAGGTTACCAATGTCGGAGGTACAGACTCCAAATGTAATCGGTGTCCGAACTGTGATGCAGCCGAGTATCAACCCCAACAATCTCCAAGTCTCCAATCCGGTAAGTACCACAGTCTCATACCACCGAAGTCCAATACTGATCTCTGTCCAACTAGTATAAGTCTCCAATCTGAAGAAGAAGCAGAAGAAGAAGAATCTGAAGAAGAAGAAGAAGAATCTGAAGAAGAAAAAGAAGAAGAAGGAGCGAAGGAGGAGAGAGAGAGAGAGAGGGGACTGGCGAGGGGAGGGAGGAGAGAGGCCTCCAACCCCGATACCTCAGGCGGCTATGGCCCGCCGGCACACCCAGTCGCCGCTGTTGTTGCTCGCCCGCTGCTGCGCTAATGCTGCGCTGCTGCTCCTCGCTGCTCCTGCGCTAAACTTAGCGCCAGCGCTGTCTCGCGCTGTACCATACTGTACCGGTAGAATGTCGGTAGGTCGATGCCTCCAAGTGAGGCTGTACCGGTACTTATACCGGTGGGGCAGAGGCCGGCCTCAATGCTGCGAGGCCTGGCCATGCCCTGAACCGTCCAGATGGACGGTTCAGCCCCAACCGGCAGGCGGCAGCCTCAAGAGCGCCATACCGGTGGGGCAGAGGCCGGCCTCAATGCTGCGAGGCCTGGCCATGCCCTGAACCGTCCAGATGGACGGTTCAGCCCCAACCGGCGGGCGGCAGCCTCAAGAGCGCCGCCAGGCCCAAACGATAATGCCGTTTGGGCCTGCCCGTCGGGTACTGGTCCAAGATCAGACCTTTAGGGCCTGTAATACCCCAAGGTCGGGCCTTTAGGCCCTGATGTGTCCTTCCGGCCCTGTGTGCGTCGAAGATGTAACACAGCATTAGGTCCAAGGGGAAGTCTGCAACTGTACACAATCGGAGTCCTCGGCTGTGAGGCAATCTGGACGGCTGAGGGAACCGGACTCGAGGCCAGACAGCCTCGTCAAATGCTACTGAAAGCCTGGCCTCGAGGTGGTCAGCATTCAGTCTTGCTAT